GCTCCCCCAGTCTAGCTGGCCTGCTGCCTGTCCCCGAGGTGCGACACTTGGCCTGGCTTCTGGGCGCCAGGCCCTCCTTGCTGGCCGCTCCGTCTGCCTCCCTGGGCTCCAGCAGTTCCTGGTGTCAGAGGGGACCCTGTTCCCCACCCTGTGCCCACCCAGCCAGCCCCAGGCACCAGCCCCCTCCGGTCTCAGAGCTGGGAACCGTCAAGAGCTCACCGAGGGCCAGAGCCTGGATTCGCTTCCTTCTCAGATGTGCTGCCCTTAGCATTTGCCTCTCTAGGTCCTCAAGATCCAGTAATGCAGAAAACCAAGATTTTAGTCTGAATAGCAGCAAATTTGACTTGGCTAATTTCATGGGTCTGAAATCTCAGATCTGCACTGACGGGAGGCTCTGTATTGTGTCCATCCGTGCGCCTGCCATGCGAGGATACTCGTGCTGCTGAGTACGCAGTGACGTCCTGATGTCCCAGACGTGTTCTGTGAGACTTGCCCCGTGCCCCAGCTTCCCTTTCCGAGATGCATTCTGAATTCTCCAGCACACCTGGCCTGGCAGCCGGATTTGGACTGAAGCTTGCAGTAGGATTGTCCCAGGGAGGGCTCAGGACCTGGAGGAGTGACCTCGGGTGGCCTGCTCCCCACAGCCTGAGGACATTGAGAGTCAGGGCAGCTGGGCCCCAGCTCAACACCTGGACCTTCGGTAGCATTGCCGTTGGGCCCGGGAACAGCCCTGCAGGTGTTGTCCCATGGAAAGGAGAGCCTGCTTCCCGTTCATGTCCACTAACCTAGCAGCCCCGCGGTACCTGAAACCCTCCCAAGACTGGGCCTTTTCCGGACAACAGCTCCAGGTCTTTGTCTTTTCCTGCCCCTCCCTCCCTTTGCCCCATTGAATTTCCCCTCCTTGCAGATTTGGTTGCGAAAGCATGGCTTCTGTGGTTCCCAGGCCAGGAGGCTCTTTGGGGAACCCACAGGAAGCCCGCGGCCTGAGCTGCAGGTGCTCCTTCCTAGGGCTGCACTTTCAGGAGTCAAGACAAGAGGACAAGAGGGGACAAGAGGAGCCAAAGGCGCTAACCTGTGTGGAGGGCTTGTGATGCAACGGGCACTGCCACCCAGGGGCAGAGGACACCCACCTGGAGCACAGCGTGGGGTGGCCCCCAGATTGTCCGCATGGCCTGTGGCCCATGCCTAGGAAGAAGGGGACAGGATCAGCTCTAACTTGCAGCTTCATGTTCCTCCCTGAGATGAAGCCTGGGGAGGGGGGCAGCAGTGGGAGGTAGGAGCCGAGCGGGCGCTGAGCTCACCCCGCAGAGCGCTCTGCAGATACGCCCTGATGCGGGCGAGTGAGCTGTCCTGTCCCCTCTTCTGCAAGTCCTGGCTGTCGGCGACAGGGTGGTGATGCCCTGGCACTCCTGGCCTGCTTCCATGGCCAAAGGCCTGGGGCCTGGGGCACGGACACTGCTGCATTCTGCAATGCAAAGGGCCGGGAGTCCTAGCTGGGCCCTGACCCCTCCGCGATGGTTCTTTTCAGTGAAATGTCAAGGAATGTTCACACCGCTGTATCAGAAGAGGGAAAGGAAAGGTATGCCCTGCTCCCCATGTTAGTGGTCTGGGCACGGGAGCCCAGAGGGCGTGGTCCGGGAGGGAAGGCAGGGTGTCCGCACATTCTGCAGGGCTCTGGCGATGGGGTTCACGGGCAGCGGTACCCTGGACATGGGATCGGTGTGCGCAAGTTGGCAGTGGGCCTTGACGGTCCCAGAGATTCCAGCAAACAGGGCTGAGTGGCTGGGAGGAAAATGGAGCAAGCAGTGGGCTGGGCTGGAGCCTGTGCCTGTCTCCAGCCTCGTGTGGGCTGGCGGGGCCCCGGTGTCCTGTTAGACGAGTGCCATTGGGTGGATGGCCGGAGCTGGAGCTGCTGATGGCTCGGCCCTTCCAGGGCAGGAGTTGCCAAGCATCTGCTGCTAGATGTTCCCGGCTTGGCGGCTGCAGTGCCTCTGCTTCACCCTCCCCGCTGCCCCACGTCGCAAGGTGCCAACACAGGCGGCGTCTGCTCCGGCCCACTGCGGCTGCGTTCCAGCACGACTGCATGTGTGGACACCGAAGTTTGCACTCTGGGTAATTTTCATGTGTCACAGAAACATGTTCTTTTTCTGGTTTTTTTCCAGCCTTTTTAAAATGTAAACCCCAGTCTTGGTTTGTGAGCTGTGCACACGCAGGCTGCAGGCCACCGCTGCCCTGAGCCGATGTGCAGACCTCGCTCCAGGCTCCTCTCCCCCTCAGGCTCAGGGGTAAGGGTGGGTCCCGCAGGCCTGACAGTGGCAGGGCAGACCTCCTCCAGCTCCAGCTGATGAGGGAGTCGCTGGTCCTCAGGGCTCCAGGCTGAGAGAATTTGAGCCACGTGGGATCTGCAGCCCGGCCCCAGGAGAGGCTTGGAGCCCAACTGGCCAGTGTGCAGCGCTGCTCCCGAGAGGGTGGCCCACGTAGACAGCTGGGTCAGCACCTGGGTGGACCCAGGGCTTCTCAGAGCAACGAGCAGACTGGGGTGTCGAGGGCTAGGTGTGTGGGCAGAGTGCAAAGGTGGACGTTCAGGCGCACACCTGGGGCAGCGCTCAGCTCACGGTGTACACCCGGGCCCTCGACGGGGCTCATGGTCTCTCTGAGCCTCAGTTTCCTCGTCTCTGAAAGGCAGGCAGTCGCCACTGTCACCCAGCTGTCACCGGAAGAGACCCTGCGTCTGGCTCTGCCTGACATCTCGCCTCCCCTCAAATGGATGCTCTCGAAGATTGTAGAGCCAACTCCACAAAGTTGTGGTGGAAATTAGTGACTTAAATGCCGACTAGTGAGTGTTTGGGAAATGTTGCCACTTTTATAAATTCAGAGAGGAAGAAAGGTTGGATGCCTTTCCTTCTTCTCCTGAGATGCAGCGTGGCCCTCTCGGACTTCTGATCGCAGGGTTTGCACCCTGGGTCTTGCCGAACTTCCTGAGTAGGAAATGTCTTTGATAGCATTTGAGTCTGGATGCCCAGCCTTGAAGCCCGACTGTAAAACAAGAAACTGATTGGAGTTCTCTCTTCCCCACTATGTGGAAAGTCCTGTCATTTGACATTGCACAGCTATGAATTCTTTTATCTCCTTGTCCCTCCCCTGCATTCCTGGGGCACAGGTAAGCAAGCCCTGTCACTGGGAGCACATTGGTATTAACCGCTGCCTGGAAGAGGAGACACCAACAGGGGTGTTCTGCATTGCTTATCGGATGGAAATTCCCTCAGGGGGATGCTGATTAACGACACCCCAGTGGTGAAGCCACCCAGAGTGAAGCCACACACCACAGTGCCGAGGTCCCAGGTTGCCTAGATTTTCCACCAAATGCTTGCTCCTTCAAGAAGGAAACGGGATATGCTGTGATGTGGGCACATCGTGGAGAAAGGAAGCTACATTGTGTCGTCTAAGCATGAGCTTCTCAGGCTGGGGGAGTAGGGCACGTAATGAGCTAGAGAGGGAGGGTGGAGCTACGAAAGGGCCCAGGGACGGGTTGGAAGGAGGCTTGCAGGGTCCCGAGGGGAGCCCTAATATTCACCCACCCCACAGGTTGGACACCATTCACCCCCAAGGCATCCTGACCGGGGAGGCGGGAAAGACCCGTGTGGGGAGCAGGTGTCTGGGGAAGGGTCCTGCTCTCCCGAGAGGCTGAAACAGCAGTGGCGCCCGCCCTTTCCTCCTGTGACCTGTGCCACGGCGCCGGGTGCCTCCCCAGCAGAGGCCAGCATGGAGGGCGGAAGGTCCCTGGGCTCCCCAGGCACCACCTGTGTGTTTATGGCCTCTGATCAGCTGCCGTTAAAGACAGTTTGAGTTGGAGTCTCCATCCCTGTTCCTAAGGCCTCCCAATGGGGACGGGCGGGGCTGCATCTCTGAGGCGCCCAGTCAGGGGGGAAGGAAAGGAAAGGCACGCTGCAGGCAGCGGGGCGAGGTACTTCAGATGCGCTAGCCTGAGACACACCTTGTAGGCCGCCTGGGCTACCACTGTGGGTCTGAGTTGGTAAACTTAGCAGCGAGCTCATATCGGGCCCCTAGCACACGGGCAGGGTAGGGACAGGTCCTTCGGGAACAAAGCATCGTAGAAAGCATCATAGCATCTAGCTGGTGGAGAGAGACCAGACAGAAGAAAGATGGTCTGGGGACAGTGTCGCCTGCGTATGCCAGGAGGGCAGTGCTTGTGGAGATGGGAATCTGACCCAGCAGGAAGGAGGAAGCTGGGGCCCGGCCCCTCATCCCCTGCCGTGGAACTCCTACCTTAGCACGCACTGATGCTGCTGGCGGAGACGAGTCACCTGGATGCTGATCTATTAATTCTCGACAAGAAGCAGAACCAGTCCACGCCATCACGGCGAGGTCTGTGTGGCTGAGCTGCAGTGGCAGAGGCCCAGGGAGCTGTGGCAGGTGGAGACCAGGTACAGGAGCAGGACGGGCAGGTTGTCCAGGGCAGGAGCTGGTGGGAGGAGGGCCAGTCAGTCCTGCTCCGGTTCCCAACGTCGTTCTCCAGTCCCAGCCAAGCCTCCAGGTGTCCATTAAGCTCACGTTCATTCAGCGGTAAACTGGCAAATGTTTAACAAAATGGCCCTTGGGAAAAATTGCGGGGAAAGGCTCTGCTTTATAACATTTGCCGAGTCAGGTTCCAGGGTATAAATGCTCCCCTGGGACGGATTTGAGATCCCGAGGAAGACGGTAGACTCTCTGGAGTGACTTTGGCAGGCTGCAGCATAGGACGGTCATGCCGCACTGGCCTCTCGGGGTCTGTCCAGTGCCAGCATGGTGTGGGGCCGCCTGTCAGTAGGATGCTCGTCTGGTCAGTCACGGCCATGGACAGTGAGCTGGTCAGTTCCATTCTTGGAAAATGACCTCATCTCCAAATTCTTAGAGAATTTATTTCCACCCCCTCTTAGTTACTTTTCTCTCATTGCTGAGATAAAATACCCGACACCCACAGTTAAAGGGAAAGGGGTTTATTTAGCTCAGAGTTTGTAGAGGTTTCAGTTCCTAATCCACTGGCTCCAAGGTGGGTGGGCGGGGGCCTGGCACAGGAGAAACAGCTCAGGGTGGGCAGAAGACAGCAAAGCAACAAGGGCCGACCACAGCTCCTCCTGCCCCTCTGTCTTACCCAGGCCCTCAGGGCGGGCAGCACTCAGACCCTGACCCTGGTGCCCTTGAGCCTAGCACTGCACCATGAGTCAGTCCCAGCGTCACACACCCTAGATGCAGCCACCTCTGGAAGAGCCCCACCTGTGACCACACGAGGCTTTGGGGCACAACTGGACACAGCCAGAACACGCCCATATACCACCCAGTAAAACAGTCGTGACACGGCTAAAGAAGCCAAAGATGGATTTCCCTTCCACACAGTATCGCCTGTAGTCCCGGATTCTGTGACAATCAAAAAAGCTGCAGTGTGAGCTGTGAGGTCTGTGCCAGACTGAGTGACACCAGAGGCAGCAGGGACAGGGCCTTGTGGGTCTTCGGCAGCACTCCACCCCTCTCCCTGCCTCATCCTGCCATCCTACCCGACAAGAAACGGCAGGAAAAAAAGCTCTGCATTGCCTAGCAACAGCCCTGGCTGCAGGGAGACCAGCCCTGGGCACCAGGGGAGGTCAGTCAATACAGTTCTGAATTCAGGCCGTGACAACCACGAAAGGATCCATCGTGAGGATTTATAGGAAAACCGGAGCCCAGCTGTGGTCTCCCCAGCTGGTGGGGAAGCCCATTAGCTCTGGGCACGGGGCTTCTCCAGATGAACTATCTGGGGTAAGGACGCTTCAGGCCGCCAAAATCAATAGGCCCCTTTGAAGGCAGACTCCAGCCGCTCTGGCTGAGGCTGTGCTTGTGACTGCTGGTCAGCAGTGCAGGAAGAGCAGGGCTGAGTCGTTCCCTCCCACAGGAAGGCCTGCCGCCCGCCGCTCCATGGGCATCCCAGCCCTCCGAGGGCCTCCGAGAGGCCGTGAGTATCAGCAGCAGGTCTGCTAAGGGGGTCAACTGTGCCAGTGTGGGGGACCATGGAGCTTCCCGGGGCGGTGCTTCCCAGGAAAAACCGGGAAAGCCCCCAGCAAGCTGTGACGTGGCCACCCGAGACCAGCACTCTCAGGTGGAGGTGATCTGTACCCTGGGAGGCTGACGATAAAGCATCGGGCACCAGGTTAAGTTTGAAAGGCAGATAAATGACGAGAAATCCCAGGACAATGCCCCAGATGTTACAAGGGGATACATTTTACAGTAAAACAGAGATGGGAGAAAGAAGAAGTGTCTGGTTGCCTGCAGCTCAGCCGTCACTCATCTTCTCTGTGTTTCATTTGGGAATCTGGAGCCACCCCCAGACTCTGGGTTGTCACAACCTCGGCTTGACGGGGTGGCGAGCCCTGCTGCCTGTGCCCAAGATGATGCCCAAGGTCCCGGCAGGCGCCGTGGGCACTGAAGCCCACGACTCCGCTGGAAATGTCTGCAGTGCACGGTGCAGAAGTCCTCCACAGGCTGGGCTCCCGGCAGCTGAGTCCTCCCCGGGCCTGCTGGGTGGACAGGTGGAGCAGGGTCAGGTGTGCTTCTGCTCCTGATGCTTTTGGTCAGAGAGGGCCAGGCAGCTTCTGGGAGCCCCAGGCGCTTCTAGCCAGTGCTCCCCCAGCAAGGCGCCACGCCCACTCTGGAGAGAGCACAGCAGGGGGTGTGGGCCACGGGGCCGGGTGCCAGGCCGCTGTGGTCTCCAGGTGTCCTCGCCCCAAGGCTTCTCCTTGCGCTCCTGCGCTGGCCTTGGCTGTGAGAGCAGAGCTCCACTGCTCTGTGTGCACTGGTACCGACCCACCTGGAGTTTCCGGCGGAAACGGCAGCAGCAGGAACGCTGTGTAGCCTCCAGCTGGGGGGCTTCATCCTTTCGAAAACACATCCAGCCCATGAGAAATGTAGCCAGAAGTCACTGGCCGTTCTGGTTTCCAGCCCCATCAGACACGGCGGGGGTTGTTCTGCAGCTCCATCTTCTGCTTGGGGCGAGTGCGGAGGGAGAGGAGTCCCAGGGCCAGTCCTTGCCTGCTCGATGCTGTGTAGGGCTGAATTGTAGAAATCGGCGTCTCCTGAAAGGGAGTTGGTGAGCTTTTCTATGCCAGCCTCCTCGTCTCCATGGAATTAGTGTGTGCTGGGTACAGAGTTCTAGGGAGGGCAGGTGGCTATGGGACGACAGTGTGACTGTGCTGGATGCCAATGAATGGAAGGCTGAAGGGGCGCCAGCGGTAGGAGCGCACGGTTCACCCAGGCACACAGGAAGTGCTGGTTGAAGGAAGGCCTGCTGCTTACTACCTAAGCTGGCCTGGGCCTGTCAGAGTCCCCTTGGAAACTGGACACAGGCCTCGCCCTCTGTGCCTTCTTCCTGAGCACCAGGCGGGCTTTGCCTGCGTCTCCTGCTGTCGGCTCTCAGGCGCTTGGAGATACGCCTGTGTTTCCAAGCTCCTGCTATTCCTCCCAAGGCGGACCCTGTCAGTGTGGACTTTCTCAACCGCGGGGACCTCTTGTCTTTCCTGGGCTGTGGGGCAGCACAGGTCGCTCCCGGCCAAGACAGCACAGCCCTGCCTCGAGCGGGCGCTGTGACCTTGAGACATTATTTGACCCCTTGGCCCCTTCCTCACCTGCGGATTAGAAGGAAGAGGGGTCATGAAGGTGCCTGGCTCTGCTGCCACTAATGTGGTTGCAGCCTCCTTCCGTACAGGTGGTCCTGAAGGAATTACCCTGTAGGTTTCAGCAGTCTGCTGTCTCCCTTCCTGTTAGCTGCCCAGGAAGTCTGCAGAACCGGGGAGACTTCGCACCTTCCGTGTGAGGAAGAAGAGACTTGAGAGTGTAAATATTGTCCCAAGATCATCGAGACTTGGCGCAGGGACAGGGCCTTCTCCTTGTTCCTCCTTCCGCCCTGTCAGAGTTTTCAAAGGACACTGGCTGGTGTCTTCACCCGGACTCCGGATCTCCTTGCCGAGTTTCAGCGTCAGACGCTGAGGGGAGCAGGCTGTAACACGCACGCACATCTGCTCTCACGCACATCTGTTCTCACGCACACCTGAACTCACACAGCAGCTACTGTGCGATGGCCGGCCAGGGTCTGAGGCTGGGAGAGAAGCTGCTTTGGATGATTTGCAGGGATCCCGGCAGGCGATGCCACCTCGGCCAGCAGCACCAGCCCGGGGATTCCTTCACGCTTGGCTGCAAGGGTGCGAGGCCCCGGATGGCGAGCAAGAGCTCCCTGTCTCCTTGGGTCTCCGTTCACAGCAAGTGGCCTAGGCCTGGGAGCTGACTGGATAAATAAATGAAAGAGGACAGCGAAGATATCTTTCCACAAAACGGTGCTGATGACGACGCTGTCCCCAGAAAGCACTGACAGGTGGCCACTTCCTCTGTGGGATGGGACAGCCTGGCCCCGCTGTGCCTGGAGTTGAGGCTGTGAGGTTTGGTGCCTTTGTCTCAACTCTAGGTGTGGACTCTCCTGGGCTGGAAGCCACCCCTATGGCTTGGTCTGGGGTTGGGTGACCCACCCTGGGCCAATGGGGCTGCAGTGTAGGGTGGCTTGAGTTTCTGTGGAAGTCCCTGGAGGAAGTGGACAGCCAGGTGGCTCCCAACCCCATCTCCAGAGCAGAGGAGACCCAGCTTCGGGAGGAGGCTGACTGGGGGAGACAGTGTCTGCTTGGTTGGCTTCACGCCGAGGTAGCAGAATATTCACAACCGGAAGCCCAGAGCATGGTGCTGCCCAGGTGAGGGCCTTCCTGGTGTGTCCTAACATGGCAGGGCACCGTGACCAGGAAGCCCGGCGTGCAAGTGTGATCTCTCTCTGTCCTCTTACAGAGCCACCCGTGCCGTCACGGAGCCCCACCGTGGGCCCTCCTCTCACCCGAGTTCTCCCCAAAGGCCTCACCTGCACGTGACACCAACAAATGAGTTTGGGGCTCGTTTGTGCTACATGAACTTTTGAGGGACCCATTCAAGCCATGGAGGCAGTAGTGAAGGGAGGAAAGGCCGGGTCCTGCCGTCGGAGCTGCGGTTGGGCTCCTCGTGCCCCCTTTTCCGAGTTCCCTTATGTGTGCAGCAGGCATGCTTCTTTGGGAGCCACTTGGAGCCAGATTTTCTGTCACCTGCAGCTGAGAGCAGGGCTGGCCCATGTAGGCTGAAGAAGCAAGCTCGGGCTCTTTCTTTACATGGGCTCCATCCTGGCCTTCGGATGCCATGTTTCTGTAAAACTGCAAAGTCGAGGCCTTTAGCCACAAGCTGTTAAAGCAGCTGCCTCTCCACACTCCGGTGCTCAGCTGTCACACTGGCCCTCGGGCTGGGTACAGCTGGAGCGGCCACGGGCACTTGGGGTCTGGCCAGCGAGGAGAAGAGCCTGTCGCTGCCTCCCTGGGTGAGAAGGGCACTGTCACCCTGGGCTTGGCGAGGCACGCGGGGTGTCTCAGTGTGAGGACGGCCTCTCAGAATGCTCTTCCCTCCCACGCAGCAGGCTCTGCAGGCCCGCTGCTCATGGTGACAGCCTGCTCATCTACCGCTGACCACCTTCCTCCCCTGCCTACCCTCCTGGTGTCTTTGGGACCACCTCCCAGGTGAGTGCCTTGCTGCTGCCCCAGTCCCAGACCTGTTTCTGGGGTCCCGGCATGAGGCTGACCCGCTGAGGGCTCAGCTCGTGCTGTGCACGCTGCTCAGCTCTTCTGTAGGAGGAGACCATCCCAGGCTGGGGCTCGGGCGCCACGTGGGAAGGCTTGAGATCGGATAGACCAGGGACATTGTCAGATGGTGAGAACTCTTAGTGACCAGTGTCCCCATCAGGCCAGTGGCTTCTTCAGGCAGGGATGGAGTTTCATTCCGTGTGCTGTCCTCAGCAACCAACATGGCAACTGTCACAAAGGAAAGACCCGCTAGGACACATTTGTGGGTCCTTTCACAGTGTCCAGCTCCTCCACTCTGGCCAGCGTGTCTCATCTCCCTTGAGAGGCCACCCTCCCTCCTCTCAAGTCCTTTGGTATGGATGGGAGAGAAACCTCACCCCAGCCCCAAGTCCCATCCCTCTGGCTGCAGTGATTGGTTCACTTGTGGGTTAATAAGAGTGAGTGCAGGACTTGTGGGAGGAGCTAACAAAAGACCTGCCCTGGTTCCCCTGGAGGATGAGATGAGAAGCCTGGAACTGCAGCAACCCTTTTGCTAACACAAGGGATGACCCGGAGCCGCTGCAGAGCGTGGGTCACATGGAGTCACCGAGGAGGCAGCAGAGAAGGGAGCGCCTCCTGGCCCTGTGTTGCATTTTTGAGCTTCAGAAGAAGCCTCATTTGAATCCTTTTTCCCCAGTGATATCTTTCACTGGGTAGATCAGCTTGAGTGGATTGCTGTCACTTTTCTTATCATGGGGAAACCGAATCTGTGCTCGGCATGAGTCTGCTGACGGGTGAATGATGTAAAAATGTAGGAGACTTCAGGTAGGCTTAAAGAAGGATTTGCTGAAACTCAGAGCTTCGAAATACAGAACAGAACACCCTCTGAGGTAATGAATTTCCTCTTTCCAGGGCCAGTAGCCTAGGTGACACCACTGCTCTGTCAGGAGTCCCCATGGGTGCCGCCCGATCTAACCTCCCTTCAGTGCACAGATCCGGCAAGACCCCAAGCAGACAGCTGGGCGAGGGCTGCTGAAAGAGCGTCAGTCAGAGGGGGTGTGGCTGGGGCCCCTCAGAGAAGGGTGAGGTGGCGGCCAAGTTAGGTGACAGAGGCCCACGGGTGGCAGGGATAAGCGCAGGCCTGGCTGAAGGTCAGTGGGAGCGCAGGGACCCCACCAGCTCCTGGCCGGCCACGTGGGCTGGGTCTCAGGCTGCCCGGCACGCTCACAGGGAGCAGGTTTGCCCTGGGCTGCATGTGCACAGCAAGGCCCCTGGAAAGAGGGGCAACCAGCAGTATTTGCACCGAGCGGATTTGCTCCTGATGGCAGAGCTGGTGGTTTCTCTTGGTGTCACAGGTTCACCACCCATCCTGGCTCTACTGCCGGCCTCTTGTGTGATCCTGGGAAGCACTGATCTCCTGCATATCTCTTTCTTCATCCTCAAAATGGGACTCACGATGCTGACCTCAGAGTGCTGTGCAGACGGTGTGGCCATGGTGCCCAAGCCCTGCGTTCGCCAGCACTCACAGGACGGAGGCAGAAAAGCTCCCGGGTCTCAGGAGTGCAGTCATGGGATGGCAGAGGCCGACGTCCTGGATTCCCGATCTTCTGCTCCCCCAGGGAGGCGGGCGGGCTGCATGGGGAGTAGGCCCCGCCGAGGATGCAGGCCGACAGGAGCTGGGGGCGCCAGGTTTGTAGAGGAGCAGAAAGCAGATCACTCCCCCCAATTCTCTTGATTTTCAAGTGTCTTCGGATCATTAAAATAAAATGGAAAGCTGTGCGGGCCAACGGGAGCCAGGCTGACCCTGGTGCCTGGCACTGCTTGCTCCCTCTGCTTTGAAGACCAGAGGGCGGCGGGCACCTGTGCCCAATGCCAAGGCCACAGCGTGCCCGTCCCCCCAACCCCGAGCGTCCCGTCCTGGCGGAGGCTGCACAGGCAGGTGGGCCCTCCCATGCCAACAGCGGTGAACTGAAAGCCGGGCGGGCGAGGGGTGCGCAGTGGAGTCAGCCCCGCCCTGCACCCCACGGCCCTCCCGAAGCTGTGTCAGGTGCCCAGTGAGCAGATCAGAGCTGGTTTCCAGCCAGCCTGCGGTCCCTGGCTTCCTGTCAGCTTCGCGCTCCCCTCTTTCCTCGGGCGCAAACAAGTCAGCTGTGGGAGTTGCAGCCAACGTGGGGTGCACGGTGACGAGCCAGGAAGCTGTTCCGGCTGGGTGCAGAGGTCCCTGCTCCACCACAATGTGGCCCACAAGCTCCAGCAGATGCTGAGCCTGCGGGTGGTGCCGGACCCAGACATGCTTCCCAGGGACACACACCGGGGATGGGGGACTCCCAGACGGGCACAGCCAGACAGACAATGACAGTAAGAGCAGGACAGCAGAGCTGTACCCGCCCATACCTCATGCGCCGTCCTCAGCCCTTCTCTGGAGGTGACTCACGGCCTGGACCAGTGGTGACCGTGGAAAGTGAAACCCCGGATAAGTGAGGCCTGCGTGCTGAAGCAGAGGGCGGGAGGTGCTGGCGCTTCGGTCCTGGCCATTCTCCTGCCCCTCCCTGTGGGTGCTGGTGGCCTGTGCTCAGGCCACCCTGCTCCAGACAGCCGCCCTCAGTGGGTCCAGGAGACCCGGCCCCGCCCTGCCCCTGGGGACGCTCATGGCCAGTGGTGGCCCTGGCTTCTCGGAGTCGTCTGGCTTGCAGTTCTGCTGCGGAGCTTCCTATGCACCAAGGCCAAGGCCGGCTCCCGCGGGGACAGCTTCCGTGCTTCGGGATTCTGCCACTCTCCCCGTTTCCCTCGTTCCCCCAGTGAGCCACGTGCACTGAGGCCCCGTCTCTGCCTCCAGGGACCTCTGCTGGCTCAGGGGCCCGAAGCCCTCACCAGGGCAGTGTGAGATGGATGTTGTTACCCATTTTGCAGGTGGACAAACTGAGGCTGGGGTAAGAACTCCCTGCTGATTCCTTCTGAAAATGTGTCTCTCATTTTCACTAAGTCTATCCACATTAAGCTTTTCCCCTCCAGGTCTTCCTGGCCATATCTGGTGAGAGGGAACCATGGGTTCTGCGCCATCCTGAAAGCAAACGGAAACCCTTGTGGGGGCAGGAACAAGGCCAAGGAACCCCTCAGGTGCCTCTTCTGATGTTTCACGTGCACGGTTGCCACCATCCAGCACAGTCCTCAGGGTCTCAGAGCCCAGCAGGAGATGCTCGGGCCCCTGTGGGCTTCTCGCAGGCCCAGGGCGCCTGGATTTCGGGCAGATGGCGTGGCCTTATGCTGCGGCTGGATGATGCAGGGCAGCTGTCGTGGCAGGAGGCCCACTGACGGGCAGCAACCTGGGCCTGATGCCCTGAGCCCGAGGGCTGGGCAGTGGGGTGCATCTGGGGAAGGATCATGCCCTTCCCGGTCCAGATCCCACCTCGAGCCTGTCCCAGGGACCCCACGCCTCCGGGGCGCCTCCCGGGGACCTCTAGATGTGGAGCCCAGCCTGGGGCCACCTTACCTGCAGGGGCTGGTCAGGACTCGCCTGCTTGCCTGTCTGTGGCCTGGCCCAGTGTCCCAGCAGCGGCACGGGGGGTTGTCAGCAGACTCCTGGTGGGCTTCTGTGTTTATGTCTTAACGAGGAAATGGGGCAACATCAAGGCCAGGACCCCAGTCTGGGAGAAGGGGGCAGGTCGGGCCTGGGGATTCTGCACTTGAACAGGTCCCCCTGGGCCCATGGTGTCTCTGTCTGCATCCACAGCTTGTGTCTAGTTTGGGGCTGCCTTGGACACTTGTTCTCAGAAGGCTCTGCACCAGCCTCTGGGAACCTCGGGGAAGGACTCTCTGCTTTCACCCAGAGCTGGGTCCTCACGGGCGCCAACCTTGGTGGGAGAAGACACGATCCCAGCGGAGACTCCGGAGCAGGTGGTGGGGAGGCCCGGCCTCTGAGCTATAATTAGACAGGAGAAGTGAGCACAGGAAGGTGACTCGGGAACAACGGGCTGCTGTATATTTTTAAAAGAGAGAAATCCTATAGAGAAAAGGATTTTGAGTGTTGCCAAAGAAATGATGACTGTTGGAGGGGATGGATATGCTTGCCTTGATTTGAGCACTGTGTGATGTTCGCATGTATCACACACCACATCATGCCCCGCCAATGAACAATCTTTACACATCCCTGCAAAGTAAACTATAAGAAGGAAACAGTGAGCTAGCAGCGGAGTCTTGGCTGGGCACCGTCCTGCTGGAGGGCCGGGCGGGCTCTGCTCTTCCTCCACCGCTCGGGGACCGGAATGTGCTCTCCAGCCCTGATGAGAACCCCGAGTTTACAAATGCCCCCTGGCCTCACTGGAGCTGGCTCTGAAGGCAGAAGAGGTTAAAAATGTGTTTCAAGCTTCAGGCAGTTAGAGCAGCCTCGCAGCACCCCCCCACCACCGGAGAATTTCTGTTGGATTTTGTCTGATGTGAACACAATCAGGCACTGTGAGTGTGGCGGGGCCAGGGGCACCGATTCTGAACAGCGCCCCATGCACGCGTGGCTCTTGGGGTCCAGACCTCACCAGGAAATAAAACCAGGACAGCAAGCGGCAAGGTGGAGTCAAGGAGCATTGTGACCACAGAGCCCAGCCGCGGCAGGGCCTGGAGCCGGGCACCGAGAGCAGAGGGGCAGCCCACGGGAGACTTGGCCTCTCCTGGGAGCTGCTGAGGGTGCTGAGTCCCGGGCCCTGATGTGGGCCACAGACCTGTGTCACCCCAGGCCGAGAACCCGCTCTGCTCAAATGTCGGACGGGCCAGCTGTCAGCTGCACTTTTTACTGACCAGTGTAGTGTTTGAAGTTTCTAGTACTGGTTTCCAATGTTTCACAATGGGCATTTTTTCCATAAAAATCTACATGTCTGGCTTAAGGTGGGGGAAAATTCATCAAGATCTAGTCACCGGGGGCACGTGTGGGCCTGGTGGTGAGTGACTGGAGGTGAGCAGAGCCGCTGCTCTCGGAGAGGGCTGGAGCCTCCGGGGCCGCCGCCCCTCACCTGCCATCACCTGTCCCTCGGGTGCGAGCCCAGGTCGAGACCCATGTCCCAGCCCTGTCGCCTCGCTGCACACCTGTGGGTGCTGGGCCGTCTGCTTCCCCAGATGCCTTCTCTCCCTGGCCTGCACCCGCTCCAGCCCACCCTCAGCTCCTCCCCTTCCTGCCGAGGTGGAGAAGAAAGAACCTACCTAGCTCAGCACTGGAGCTCCCCAAGCACGCAGTGGAGCAGCGCGGAGGGGGTTGGCAGTGTAACCTTCCCTCAGGCGATCGCACCCATGAGGGGATGGCCCAGGGTCGCGCTCGGGATGGGTGGACAGTCCCCTCTGCCGGGCGGCTAACCAAGGCCCAAGGCGTGGGTCCCCAGAGGCAGACAGACTCGTCTCCGCAGCTGGTGGTCCCGTGGCTGCGCTGCGTGGGAGCAGACTCTCACAGCCGTGCCGTCTCCTTGGCCAGGCGCCCGCTGGGCTCTGAGGCCTGGGCAGTGAGGCATCGTGGCAGGGCCGGCGGGAGAGGCCAGCTGCCTCGCTGCTCGAGCTCAGCCTGACGCACTCCCTTGCTGGTGGCGGACGTGTGGCCCAGCGTGCGGTTCCGCAAGCGTCCCACGTCCCTTAGGAGGCTGTGTCCCTCGACAGGGCCCAGAGGTCAGCTGGCTGTGGGGTGAGCTGTCGGCTCTGGGGGAGCAGTGACGATAAAAGTGTGAGGTGAGAAGCGAGCGTGGAGATGAGGTGCAGCAGGGACACGCAGGGCTCTGCGGGCCGACCTGGACAGCAGCTTCCGTCCGCGGTCCCTCTCCGAGGCCGTGGGCCTGGGGTTGGGCAGCGTTCTCCAGAGGGACCGAACCAATGGAGCATCTCTGTCCATCCGCCCGTCCGTCCGTCCACCGCACCGTCTGCCACATCACATCAGCCGCCCCTCTGTGTTCTACACGTCCTCTGTCATTGACCCATCGTATCTGTTGGTCTGTCCAACCACCATCTCTCAATCTGTCGCCTAGCAGCTCATTCATACCTGTCTTCTATCATTTGTGTTTATCACCTGTCACTTGTCCATCATATCTGGCATCATCAATCTATCATCTGTCTATCTACCAATCATCTGTCTGTCTGCCTGTCTCTAGGCATCTATGAAGGATGGGAGATTCATTAGGGGAGTTGGGTCATGTGATGACAGAGGCCATGCAAGCCCGTGGGTTGCTGCCTGCACCCTGGAGGAAATGCGTGCTGTGGCTTGGTATCTCAGCCTGAGGCTCCCAGGCTGAGAACCTGGGGGCGCTGGTGCCGTCCAGGGGCCCAAAGGCCGGGAACCTGAAGCTCCGAGGTCTGAGGAGAGAAGGGTGCTCAGCTCCTCAGGATTGTGCAGCCTCGCCTTTCTGTTCTGTCCCACCTCCGCCCCACACCAGGGGAACGGGCCCCTCGCATTCTGTCCCGCGACTCAAAGGCCACCTCTCACGGAACCCTCGTGGATGTAGTCAGACATCAAGTTTAGCAGCCTGCTGAGCACCTGGAGCCAGCGAGCTGACGCTGACGTTCACCATGGCGGGTCCTGTGGCGCTTGGGGAACAGTGAGGATTTCCCATGGGTGCCTGTGGCCATCGACTGCTTTCTGGGCTGCTCACGGGGACGGCTGGCAGAGGAGGGGAGGCGCGTCCCTCCTCCAGCCTGCTCTGGGAGACCGCTGCTGCTGTGGGCTGCTCTGCAGAAAGGATGGACTTGGGGAGCAGGGGAACCTAGGCCTCTGCCCCCGCGGGTGTAGTTGCGGTCTGCGTGGGCAGGCTCTGTGGAAAAGTCCATTTTTCCTTTGTGATCTCTGCCGCTCTCCTCCCCGAGGCGTGGCGATACCTAGCTGAGTGTCCCAGTCACTTCTGAGCCCAGCTTTATCCCCCACTGCCTCTGGGCCCCTCTCCTCTCTGCTCCTCTGTTCCCTTCCAGCTCATCGCCTTCCGTCTGTCTGTCTGTCTGGCTCTCTCTATCGTCTGTCTTTCTGTCTGTGTCGTGGGTGTCAGACAGTGGCTTTGCATCACAAATAACGCCGAGGGCCTCCGCGCTTCCTGACCATCAAGGCCCCTCTGTCCTCCTCCCACCCCAATTTCTCTCCCCCGTGAGACCCTTTCTCTCCCGGCCCCACGTCACCCTCTCAGGGCAGAGCATCTCAGCTGTCTCTTTGCCCTCCTCGGGGACCTTGCCCTCCTACAGCAAGCGTACGTCCTGTCACTTCCTGGATGAGTATGTAAGAGGGAAGCAGCAGCATCCCCCTGCCGCTCCTCCTTACCGCGACTGTGAGGCCCCGAGGAATTGAGCAGCCAAGCTGTGCGTGCTTCTGGCTGCCGGGGATGCTTTGAAGGGACTTCCTGCCCCAGGAAGATGGCCACGTGGTGCCTGGCCTTGGCCTGGGGCCTCTTCTTGCTCTTCTGTCCCAGGACACCAGGCAGCCTGCCCGCTCTGCTCCCTCTTCTGAAGCAGGGCTGAGGCGGGAACAGCTGCGATGCCCTCACTCCGCCCTCTCTGGAGAAGAGGGTGCGGCTGGGCTGTGAGGTCAGCAAGTCCGTTCCCGTGGTGACAGCCCTGGCAGCAGGTTTCCCGGTGAGCACACCGGTGTGTGCAGTGTACCTTGTAGCTCAGGATCAACAAAGTCAAGGCGATTTCCTTGACATTCCATCAATACGAGATTATGGAAGGGGAGGGCTTCCTGTAGAAGCCAGCGCCTTACTGAAGCTCAAATGAGGCAATATATAGTCAAATAAATTCAATCTCTATTTTCACTCCTTGCAGTTTTAGTGCAGACTAAATGAAATGGAAAGGTTTTGATCCTCACTCGTTCAATATATCTTCACTTCCTAAGAACCAAGGTCATTTTTACCTTCACAGGAACGGAGGCAAAATATAAAATGCTCACCCATTCCAAACAGAAATGCGTTTGCAGGTTTTAAGAGCTGGGTAGATGACTGATACATTATGTAATGCATTTCACGGCACAGCCAAATGTGTTTTATAGATAGTGCTTGACCTTGCCAATTCCGCTCTGAGGTAACCCTCTGAGGATAAAAGTCATATATTTAACACAAAGGGAGAGGCTGGAGAGAGGAAAGGCGCGCAGTGTTGCTGCAGTCGATCGCCGGAAGTTGCTCACGGTGACGATCGGACCAGGTCACTGCTGCTTTGCCTTACTAACAACCTCATGCTGACACCAACCAGGGACGAGTGACAGCCGTCGAGTGTCGCCACGGCGGTGTGGGCTCAGGACAAAGCACGCCTGGCACTGCAGCAGGTGGGCACGCGGCAGCAGCGTGGACGGCCATGGATCTCACTCCGCATGTGTGTCCTGGGACCTGGGACAACTGAACTCCCAGCCTCGGGGTCTCTGTCTGGCCCCTGCCTCAGAAGGCCCTCATCTGTGAGAAGCCATGCAGAGCTGTGTTCTGTGACTCCCAGCCTGGCAGACGCTGCTGCCCCACAGAATGTCCTGGATGGGGAACCCTAGGCTGCAGGAGTGGAGCTCCTCCCTGTGTGGCTTTCCTGTGAGTCTTGTTCATTGTTATCTGCTATCAGTCACCCCAGTCCTCATCCTGTCCCTCTGTCCACTTCATTAAACGTCCAGGTTGCTGCGTGCAGCAGACATTCTCGGGTGGTGTTCCATTGTGCTGAGTATTCCGGAGTGTATTTACTTGTTTGACTAATGCCAAACATTTCAACTATTTCTAGTTTTCTGTTATTATGGATGAAGCTTCTCCAGACATCTCTGTGCGTGTGTTTTGGCAAATGTGTGTATTTACTTTAGTTCAATTCACATCCAATAGCGGAGTTGCTGGGCTGTAGGATACATGTGCTGAACTCTACTCCTTATTCTCAAAGTCTCTGGAAGTGAGCGTGCTAATCTGCATGCACAGTAGCAGTGTGTGAGAGCTCCATCCAGCTCCTCCACATCCGGCAGCACCAGCCCTTCCGCGGGTCCAGGAGCCCCCAGCTCTCCCCGGGGGCCGCACAGCTGTGGCTTCCTGTGTGTGCGTAACTTGCAGGCGCTGGGCGGCCCTGTGACCGGCGACCCCAGCTGTCTCCCTTCTCACAGCCTGCCAGGGCCCCCGCTCCCTAGGAGGGGCCAGGCTTGCTTGGGGCTGGGTTCCCATTCCCTCTGCATCATGGGCCAGTCTGCTGCTGCTTCCGCAGAACACTCGCGGGCAGGACCGCGGCCTCCTACAGGATGTGTCTGCGTAAATGCGCCCCGGAGACCTTGGGCAGCACAGCTGCCGCCCACCCGCCCGGCCTGCTGAGGACGCGTTGCGTTGCGTTACGAGGAAGGGCTCCCCTCGGCCCCTTGCTGGGAGCCTGCACATCACCCTGGGGCTGACCAGACAGTCCATTCTGTGCCCGTGAACTGGCCCCAGCGCAGGCCGGCCCCTCCCGCACCCCTTGGCCCGCTGCAGCGCCAGGCCCCTGACACTGCCCAGGGGCACAGCTCAAAGCCCACCCGAGCCCCACAGCCCTTGGCATGTGGCACGGTGCCCTCACTTCCTCCTCTCTCTGCCCCGTGTCCTCTGGGCCGTGGGGCTGGGTAGACCACTCTGTGTTATCGGTCGCGGTGGCCCTGGGGCCTGCCTGGGGCTCAGTCCACCCCGGCTCCGGTAGGTTCCACCTGGGACACCTAGATTGGTGAGTCCGAGGCAGGGGTGACGAGCACCTGTGGGTCATCCGTGCGGGGGCCCCGGGGTCACTCTGGGAAGCTCCGGCACAATGCGCGGGCTTGTCCACAGCCGCAGGCGAGAGGGAGGGGCAGGGAGAGCCCTGGGCCCTGGGCCGGGCAGCCCTGCTCCTGCCTCGAGCCGGTGTCCCTGCTCCTGCACACTGCTGGCCTCCCCATGCTCCTGTGCACAGCTGAGGGCTCTGTGCTCGTGCACTGAGAGTGAACCACGTCCCGACAGCTCCAAGTCAGTCTCTGGGCTGGAAGCCACAGGAGCCGAGGGGGCTGCCTGGAGGATTTCTCAGGGAAGAGCAGTGGGGCTGAAGCCATCTTCGGAAACCTGACCAGCTCTCCTGTCCGCAGCCATGGTCACCAAACCCAAGGGACGTTGGAGAGACTGTCACAGCCAAGGGGAATCGAAGGCGACATGGTACTCTGATGAGATCCCGGGACAGAAAGGGCCACTTGGCGAAGGCTCAGGAACCCAGGCTCTCATTATCACAAAGCGGAGGGCAGAGCTGCAGTGGAAGCTGCCTGTGCTGCCTTCCTTTCGGCGCTCAGGGACCTAGCTTTCTGTTGCCACTGCAGCTTATTCAGAATGGGGTGCAGGTGCGTCCACTGACTTCTGGGTCCTTAGAGAGTGCATTCACCTGTCCTGGCCCCAGATGTGCTTCTTACTGATCTCTACAAGCAGAAACAACAGTAATCCCCGAAGGCTAATGGCCTCAACTCGGGAGCTCAAGCCCTTCGCACACCACATCCACGCTGCAAACTCTGCAGCCAGCGGTCAGCATCTGCCTGATGCCCAGGACTCGAAGGAGGGCCAGCAGGCCAAGGGGCGGCTCCAGCTCGGGCCCAGATGGCCAGCTCAGTGCCAGCCAGGCTCTTCCTGTGCCCAGCACTGCCCTTCAGAGTAGAGTGGAGAGAGAGAGAGAGAGAGAGAGGGAGAGAGAAAGCGCCCAAGAGGCGGAAGGGAAGGGGAAGCGCCAGGAGTGAGCAGCGAGGCAGTGAGTGTGGCTTCCTCCCGTGGCACTGTCCACACAGCTGACTGGATTCAGCAGTGCCCAGACTTGTCCCCAGTGCGCTCCCTGCTGCACTGTCAGGCAGATTTACAGTGCACTCCAGGGGTGGTGTGCTGGAGCTGTGTCCTCTGCTCAGGGCGGCTGGGGAGGCGGGAAAGCCTCGTGCAGTTTAAAGCCTCCGCGGATCTGCCCAGAGGCCTTGGCAGCGTGCGGCCGGGAGTGGCATGGTGGGGCTGCAGAGCCTCTCAGGGTGCCCAAGTACCCACCAGGCTGGAGACCCTGTGCCCCGAGAGCTCTGGCTTCACCCCCAGGTTCCGTGGAAGGTCTCGAGAGTAGACAGATGCCAAACAGACCTGGGTTTTCAGCGTGTGGTGGTGAGACAGTGCCCAAGCCCACAGGAGAGTGCAGACCCAGGAGGAGGGAGTGCGCCCCTGGAGGGTCCTGCATGTGGGCAGGGAGATGCGCCTTCCAGTCCCACCCCAGATCCCAGCAGAGGCCGGCAGGGAGCTGTGGTCTGGACGCCCTGCTCTCCGTGTGGTTAACTCAGGGGGCTGAGGCGCAGGCAAGGGACACAGGCTCACCGGCTGCTGGGGCACAGAAGCCCCAGATCCCTAACTGCAATTGTTCCACAAGCACTATGCGCCTGGCTGCTGGAGCCCTGGCCCCTATGGAAGGGGAACTTGGGGGACCTTGGGGGTCCCTACAGAGATGCGGCTGTGGAGTCAGCGTTCGCTGCTCCTTTCCTTGATGTTGGGAGGAGACAGTGGTTCCTAGCCTCTACCAAATCTGAGTGTCCCCGGCAGCTGGGCCTTTTGCTGGGAGGAGCTGGCCATGCTGGGAGGTCACCCCAAGGTCCCCAGGACCAGTGACAGCCTGGAGGAAGCTGTGAACCCACACTGTCCCTCCAGGCTTCCTGGACCCCAGGGCCTGGACTGACGTCTCAGTGCTGTGGACTCCTCCTACCCTCCTTCCCTCTGGGGCTGATCTCACCCGGGAGCCTGTCCTTACTGCAGCGAAAGCCTCTGCTCTCTCTACCCTCAGACCTCTCTAGGGAGACAGAGCTCCTGCTGGCCTCCAGCGGCATCTTCACAGCTGTGGCAGGGCCACTGTGTGGCCTGTGGGCTGCAGACACTCTCCCTCCCACGCTGGTTTCTTTCCAGGTAGCACAGCCACCAGCCAGTGACTGGCTTCTCGGGACTCTGTTTCCTTGGAAACCCAGGCCCTGGAGGCAGGGAACCAGGCAGGCCCAAGTTAAAGACACTGGGGTGGGAGTCTTCTTTAGGGACCGGCTTTTTGGGGTGTCTTCCAGGGCAGTCCTCTCCCCCTTCTGTGGCTGCTGCCCCCACTCCCAGTCAGTGCTCATGAGGAGCTTGGGGCGGTGGCTTCCGAGCGAGCTCTTGGTCACGAGTGCTGTTCTGAATCCACATGAAGGCCAGCATGCGCCTGTCCCTGGGCTTCACCAAGGAGCGAGGCAGGAGGTGGCCCTGTGCCTGCCTGGCCTTCAGACGGCCTGTGTCTCAGCGTCCCTCTGGCCAGGCAGGCAGGGAGAACCTTGGGGGCGGCCCCAGCCTCTGGGCCCCCTCACCTGCCGTTGCCGACAGCATTTTCTGATGGCCCACACGGGACAGCACCAGCATGGAGGGTGTGGAGTTGCTGAGCAGTTGCCCGAACAGCGAGTCTTGTGCCTCGGTCAGGTGGTGAATTTACGCTCAGCAACAAAGGAGCAGCTGGGTGCACATGAGGGCGTGAGGGCGGGAGGATGGCGGGTCACT